ACACACACACACACACACACACACACACACACACACACACACACACACACACACACCTTCCTAATTAGTGCTTTAGAGCTTTTGCTCATTTTAAAATGTATTAGTGGATTAACACTTGCTAAATTTGTAGGCTAAATTAAGAAGCACTAACTGAGGTCTATTTTGTTCACGTGTGTCACTTATTCACTACTCCGCAATGCATTGTAACCAAAATGTGAGAACCTTTATTTTGAAGGCCACGCCGCAAACATCCGGTTGCGACTCTGCGCTCCTCTGATTGGCTGAGCGCGTCTCGAGCCTCTTGTTAAAAAAAGCCTGTTTTTTGGGGGTGAAGGCAGACATGGAGGAGCTGAGCGCTGTCGGAGAGCAGGTTTTTGACGCAGAATGCATCTTGAACAAGCGGCTCCGGAAGGTTAGCGCCTTTAATTCCACTTTAACTGGTTTGGCGGGGTTTTTTTCTTCTTCTTCGGCTCTTTAAAAACGTTCCGTCTTTGTTTCCCTCCCTCCAGGGAAAGTTGGAGTTTCTGGTGAAGTGGAGGGGATGGTCATCCAAGTAAGTGCAAGTGTGGTGCTGCCGAGCCCCAAACAATGAAAACAACAACAACGTGTCGGCCGCTGCCGACACATCAGAACCGAACCGGAGTTTTCACGGTACCGGGCCCGAACCTCGGAACAAAAACAACTTATTGATGATTTATCTCTGGATGCAGTTTGTTCAAACGCAGCTCTGCTGGTTTCGCCTTTTGTTCAAAACAAAAAAATATCTGAAGTTTGTAAAAAAAAAAATAACTAATTCTGCCTTTTTTTATTCCTCCTCGTGCTTCTGATGGATAAAGAGCTGCACAGATTGGTTTTACAACTTGTTTTTCTCAAGTTTTCTGCAGGAAAACTGAAGAAATTAGATTTATTTACATGTTTGACTTTTCATTTCACTGATGTAATGTTGTTAATTTGTTTGATGTGTTTTTTGTGCACATTGTTGCTGTAATCCTCCAAGCTGTTGCCTGCCAGCTCCATGGTTTTCTGTTAGAACCACATCCTTTGTGTGTGTGTGTGTGTGTGTGTGTGTGTGTGTGTGTGTGTGTG